AGATCCCAAATACCTCTGATAATGGAGGCAGCTCAGAGGTTAGCCAGCTGCAAGCAGTGTTTCTGTCATATTGCAGGTGGGCGACGTCTATCTCGCTGCTGAGGCCTGGTATTACAGATGCTAAGAGGCTTCGGATTAAGGGACACCTATAGTCTCCATTGTAGTTCCTTTTTGGGGATACCTTACAAACTCCTTGATATATATTTGGTTAAACCAAAAACAAGGAACTACAATGGAGACTACAGGCACTTCCTAGACCCCGAACTGCAATTCTGCTTTGGGTTACCTTGTCTCCTGTTACAGGAACAGAGCCATGGACTAAGTTAGAAGGATTGCAGCTTCGGGCTTGTGTGAGGTACATCGGCACTGTGAGCTCTTGTGGTTCCGGGTTGAGGCTTGACTTCGTAGCTGGGCCTACGGAGACCGGGTGCTGCGTTTCGGGAAGAGATTTGTTCAGCGTCGATGTTTAGTAGCCGACTTAGACTTGCGGACTAGCGGCGCAGCATGAGTCGCGTGATTTTCGGTTCGTTGGGGTCTGGCAATCAGCATTGATCGGGAGGAGCCCCTGGAAGTTCTATTCGGCATCCGAAACTGTACAGTCCTTCGGACCCTTGCCACACCGTCTAGAAGCAAAAACTGGTTCAATTGCAGTCCAGCCCGCAAACGCGTAGTAAGATCCACGGCCCAAGCCCCAACCCGAACCCATGCGAAACCCAGAGCTCGACACAAGACTCTCGCCAGGGCGGACCGGGCGTGGCCCAGGACGCCCGGCGCATCCTCGCTCGAGGGGGCGCAGTGCTGCCGCTGAAGCGAACAGGCCGCTCATGCTCGTGGCAAGGAGAACCCCAACAGTGCCTTTGACATCAGTCATAGTGCCATAGCGCTGTTATCGGAAAAAATTGAGCATGATCGGCATGGTCTGATGCGGTGTCTAATCATGAACAGCCGGCTTTAGCGGCCGAACCGAACCAAGCTCCCATGAGCCAGATCCCTAGGCTCGAAGAAGCAGGCAGAGTTCTAGTTCTCTAAGGTCCCCAATTTTGCCATGTTCTTCTGCTCATGTTCTGAATCTGAATGCGTGCACTCATTTATTGCGAAGGCGGAATTGGCACAGAGACTGAATGGTGAGGAATGACTTGTTTGTTATTGATGTTCTTGGTTGCCGGGTTGTGCCTTGAGATCTGTTCAGCTTCCTCATTCGCTTTAAGCTGAAGAATCTTTGGCTTCACCCGCAAGTGGCCATGGGCAATACACCGGCTCCAATATAGGGACACTTCATGTAAGCATATTGAGGCAGCTGCACACTGGAAAGCAACAGACCGACTGCACCAGGTACAATAGGTGCACTCATACAGAATCTCGATTCATCCAATTGTTCTCGTTATTGCACACCTTCAAGACAAACAAGCACCACAAAGATTTCTGCTCAACAGCTGTAGCGAATTGCAGTGCGATGCTAGACTGCTCCAGCCAGCCCAACCACGTGAGTCAGCTCAGGTTATCAGATAAGCTCAACGTGCCCATGCAGAAAAAATGCTACACACAAGACCAAACACACACAGTTAAGATGCATTCATTCTAGTAAGTGAGCAAGCGTTCCAGGTGGGCAGAATGCTCAAGACCCCCCGAGCAGGCGGCGCCTGCGCCGGGAAGTTCGACTTCCCTGAAAAGGCGCTCAGTCGGCCAGATTGGGCCACGGAGGCCGACTGCTGTTCTTATTGGCACCCAGTTGCTATACAGGTCTTCCGTTCTATCTAGCATACATGCATAATTGCGCTCGTTTTGTCTGGAATTTTCCGCCTTGCAGATTGCCGGGGTGTGGCGTGTGTCACTTGTCGGCTTAGGGTTTGGAGTTCGAGTTGCGGTGTGCAGGACTCGGCAAGCTGCTGAGACCTCGTAGTACATCCTAGCTTGCACCTGGGGGTTTTGGCTTGAAACGATTCTCTCCATCCCTGCATGAACCTTGGCCTGGGGATGAAGGGCACCTCGAAGTATTCGACGGCAGGTTCGGCTCTTGGGTTCAAGCAGGTCGGGCCTGGGAAGCTGAAATCCTTAGGGCAGGGTCTAAGAATATGTAGGGTTTAATGCTGCCGACTAGGGCTAGGGTTTGGGGAGTGTATAAGCTCGAGCCTTAAGGTGGCTCCTGTATGAATGGTGATTGCAGGGGATACTCCGTCGATGTCAGCGTTCCTTCTTCATTACATCTTGTTGGCTGGCGTTTCTCATATTCAAAACGGCGACTATGACAAGGCATCCTTTTCTTTCCTCCGAAACATTACAAGAAGGGATCGAGAATAAGTGCTATAAGTAGACGCCATGCACAGATGCACAGAGAGCTGGAGTGTCAGGGCATTTCTCACCTCCCTTGACACCCAGAGACTCCAATATCCCTTAATTAAGGAATATACCTTAAATCTTATTGGGGTTGCGATTATAATTAAAGGTCTATTCTTTAATTACGGAATATTGGAGTCTCTGAGCAGGAGCAGTGGCAGCATGTCTGCCGCAGCACCCCGCCCAAGGATGCGGCCGCTGCGGTGCCCGGGCTCGAGATGATTTGGGACTAAAATTAGGTACAGGTTTTAGGGTTCAGGGTTTAGGGTTTAGGGTACCTTATTTTGGGGTCCTTCAAAAAGGATCCCACCATTTAGGGTACTATATTAGGGTCCCCTATTTTCGGAAACCCCCATTTGGTCTTCAGTTGAAACTGGGGATGGGCTTCGCATGATGCATGTACCCCACACCCTGCAAGATGCAGACGTACCAAGCCTGTGCACAAACTCTACATCGGTCTTATAATCTCTGTGTCACGATACTCATGCATGAGATTCTCAAAACCTATGGTTCCAAGTCTTCCTCCCCAATATATTCATGAAGTACCCCCTACCCCAAATCGATTATTCCAAGCCTTAAAGCCCCTGGACATGTCCAGTATTGCCCCGTACTTGGCCCTGAACCCTATTATAAACCCAAGGTTGAATAGAAAGCCCTGTCATGGAGGTGGCATCCATCCTGGAAAAGCTGCTCGAGGCCCTGGGTTACAAGTTGACCTTTATCAGTCTTCCCGTTTGAGAGTTCGCTTGGAGAAAAAGCCACGGAAAACAGTGACAGTGTCTCTTTGATATGGTATGGAAAACAGGGCCTTTTTGATAGGGTTTAGGGTTTAGGCTTAGGGTAATGTGGTGGCCCGTTTAATAATATGGGCCTCTTTAATGCGTCGTTTTCCTCATTCAAGCCGAGACCAAAAAAATGACCGGCTCAAATAATGCGTTTTTTCCCCCACCCAGACCTCAAAAACACTAAACCCTAAACCCTAAACCCTGAACCCTAAACCTAAACCCTATTTATAAACCCAAAACCCTAAACCCTAAACCCTAAACCCTAAAAACTAAACCCTAAACCCTAAACTCTAAACCGTTCTAGGTGGGATTAATTAAGCCTTAGCTTTGGGTTTACTTAATCAAAGGTACCCAGATCCTGAGC